TGGGGGGGCGCGCTCGCACTCGCAGCTCTCTGCCCCTGCCTGGCTCACAACCGCGGCCATAGGGAGGCTCGGTCGGCGCGCCCCTGGCCCGTTTCCTAGGCGACCCTGCCCGAGCAAGAAGCGGCAGAGAATCCAGAGGCTCTCACGCCGGCGCCCTCAAAGCCAAACGTGGGCGTGGCCAGGTTTGGGTGGGGGCGTGACCAGGTTTGGGTGGGGGCGTGGCCAGGGGAGGGAGGTGAGTTCCACCACCTTTTCTCTGAGAAAAAAAGCCCTGTATATATATTATAAGCTCGCATCAACCAAAAGCACAGAAAACTTTCTGTAGATTCAGAAGACCAGAGTTAACTTTGGCTAGCTCACATCCCAGAGATCAGCCGAATTTTTTCTCGAAGCCCAAACTTGGCCTCTCATGCGAATGGAACTTGGCACATGCTCAGAGGCCTTCTTCACACACACACACCAAAGGACAAGCTGAATTCGCCGGCGAGTCTAATCTCGATTTCATTGGATTCCTCTCGGCACAGATATCCTCCGGGCGCGTCAAGAAGTCGCCTCGCGAAACCCCAGCAGCATAGAGCCTCACCTTTCCTCTGCCAGCAACTCGTCCAGCCAGCGCAGAAAACAAGGACTTCCGCAGCACCGGGATTCACACTTCACCGAGAGGTATCTCTTACCTTCTTCGTACAGGTAGTCCTCGCCTTACGACTGTTCAGAGTTACGACAGAGCTGAGAAAAGCGATTTACAGTCGGTCTTCACACTTACGGTCACGACTGCCATTTTAACCCACATTTTTTTTAATGGCGTCGTTAAGCGAGACACCACAAGATGACCCTTGGCGACCTTCCTCGGTGGGGAAGCCGACAGGGAAGGTTGCCAGTCGTCCCCTTGCGATGTCTCGCTTAACGACCACATCAAAAAATGTGGGTTAAAAATCAAGCACGGTCAAATGAGGCCTCGCTTTATGACCACACTGCTTAACAATTACCTTTTCCAGTCCTGGGGATGACGGTCGTAAGTGGAGGACTTTCTTTCTCTGTAGCCCTTTTGCAAAACTGGGAAGCGGTGCCAAGGTCTGGGGCTGGAACCTAGCCAAGAAACGGCAGGGAGATTTATGGCGTCTCCCTTCCTCCGGGAGGTGGGGGGTAATGCACATGGTGTGTGTGTCTCTGTGTGTGTCTGTGTGTGGAAGCCGCTTGGCGTGGTGCTAAAATTCCATTTCAGCTTCCTGTCGGACTCCGCAGGGAATTTGATCAGCAACAGGGAGGCTTATTGTGGCAGGAAGAATAATTAGCTGCTGAAAAATTCAGCCTTTTGCTGGAGGCAGAGAAAGGACGATCCCTTCGTGGGTTCAGTCTGCAGATGGGATCCGGGGGGGGGGGGATCCTAGCTAAGAAGGGGCTCACAATTGGCTCTGGAAAGCGAGCAGAAATGGCCCAAATCCAGCTGAATCTTGCCTATTTTAAGAAAAAAAATGTAAAAATATCTCAGCATCCTTGCCCAGAAGCCATTGAGTGTCCGGGAGAAGAGAATAGCAGGCTTTGCTGGTTTTGGAGACTCTGAACCGACAAGAAAGCTGCCTTTCAAATAGTCCTCGACTTACAACAGATCCGTTCAGTGACC